CAATTGTCCTTAGTTTTCTTAGAGTTAAGCTTTTATTTATTCAAGTTCTTAATCATCTTGACAATTTATTTAGACTTAATTCCTTTCTGCATCTTAAAAATGAACCAAAACTGTTCCTTAATGTTTATCAGATGTATTTTTAGATGTTCAAAACCTTAAAAAGTCAAATCTCCCTTAAATTATCTTAACTTTCATTAAATTCTCCTAATTCTTACTCTTTTCCTCTTTGCTTAGAACTTTCGTGACTTAGTATTATTCTTCAAACTTAAATTTAATTGTAAAATCACTTAAACATTTTAAAAATGCTTTCTTTGTTTTCTTGTGCGGATTAGAAAATTCGATCAACCTGAAGTTGAACTCCAAAAACATTTTTTTAAATTTTCCACCTTTTTAATTATTTATGAAAAATTATCAAAATAAAATAAATTATGAACGTTCAGGGGGGGGGGGGGGGGTGAGTTGTAACATATTGTAACAAGGGGGGAGGAGGGGGAATGAAAAAAGTCGTTTTGCGTCGTGTTGCGTAACGTAAAAAGTGTATGTACGGCTCCTTGCATTAATCAATAAAAATTTTTTTCAGTAGTTTTTAGAACCCATTCAGAAAGGGATGGAATGTTTTATATGAGCCAAAAAAACACCTTTAATAGGTTTTTGGTTTCAATTTTAAGATTAACTGAAATTCTCAAAACTATTTTTAACTTTTTAACATAAATAAGACAATCTATACATCGAACAATTCGATATTATATTCAGGGGGGGGACAGAGCAAAAATTTCCATAAAAAAACCCAAAAATGTTTACTCTGATGAAATTTCCAAGTACTCCACAAACGAAATTGAAAAAGTCAAATTTAAAGGAACTGAAGCATCGAAGTAAAATTTTTGGATGTCAAAAGGTCTTAAATCATGATTCTCATCAGCTGCAATCAAAATTTCGGTCCTAAACTGCATCGGAAGGAAGTATTGCGAAAATTTTATTTTTCGACAATTTTTTTTCCAATACAAAGTGGAGTACTTGGAAATTTCATCAGAGTAAACATTTTTGGGTTTTTTTTTTATGGAAATTTTTGCTCTGTCCCCCCCCCCTGATTATATTTCAAATAAAAAGTATAAAATATGGTTCAACACTTGTGGGTAACGATGACAATATCACGATAAAAGCAACAGCGCCAAAAAAATACGAGCAATGCAAAATTTAATAAATAACTTTCTCTCATTCTTCTGATAAGACTTTTTCCTTTTTTCTTTGGTCGTTTTTACGCTTCCAAAAGTTTATGTGGTTGAAAATTTGAAAAGTTGTAAACTATTCTTTGTTTCTTTTTAGTTTGAAAAATATTGTTGATTATTTTCGTGATGAAATGAGAACATAAGATAGGACTTATTTATGTTCTTTGTTGTAGTTTTTAGTTTTAGAAAGAGCGGAAAAGTTTTTGGTGGTTATTAATTATGAAGTTGCTTGCACATTAAACTTTCCCTAGATCTCTTTTGGGTATGGTTTTTCTTTAGAGAAGAGGAGTGGATTAAGATCAACTAAGGCTGTGGTTCCAAGCATCCCATAAATAAACTTTATTGAACTTAGAACAAGACGAAGAATGAATATTGATTTTGGGGTCTTAAAACTCATTTTAAACTATTTTCTAGGTTAGTTGAAAGTATAGACTAGCTTAAATTTGTTTTAAACAGACAAATGAATTTAAAATCCTTCCCAATTAATTTCATCAAACCACAAATAATTTAAAACATAATCCAACTACATTAAAATAACATAAAATACCACCAAGAGCCATAAAAAATAACATAAGCACAGCACTCACACATTTATGCTGGCATTTTTGGCCAGAAAAGGAATATTTTCCATATAAATGATCATAAAAAACCATTGACAATGATTTGTTTTAAATTCATCCAGAAAAACATATTGGCAAGAGCAAAGAAACAAGAAAAATAATACATAAAGGTTCAGTACAGCATATGGATTAGTGGTTTTCATTCTCAATGAAAAAGAAAAACACATATTGACATTAATGTAGTCGCATGGGATCAGTGCAATAAGGTCTAGTTAACAAATTGCAATCAAATGCTTCGTTTATGAGTTTTCTGTCTAATTTTTATTCCTTTATATACATGCACAGTCATAGGGTTCGCCTGTTGAATAGACAAAAGTAAAAGAATTAACCAAAAGGGGATTTCAATTTTGGTATAAAGCATGTGTTTTGAGTAGAACATATGGCCTGATGACGATGAAAGAGGTGCTCATTATGATGCAATCTAGTTTATATAAAGCACTGCCGATCATCATTTCGTTCCTTTGTGTTTGATTTCAAATGAAAAATGCATTCGAATATGTTTAAGGTATCAGGGTTAGGGGTTGATTTAGCTTTCGTAGCAAATTTTTATGACACTTGTTATGTTTGCTACATGGATGGAATAATTTAGTGGACAGAATCTTTGAGGAATTTTTTTATATTGGCATTTTTTACCAATTTAGATCGCTAGGGATTCTAAATTGATGAATTTTGGTTATTCTAGAAATAACGGTTAAATTAGATTTAAACAAATTATTGGAAGAGATTGGAATGCTGGAATGCATTGGAAGTTTTAGATTATATTATTGGAAATGTTTGAAAACAATACTAGAATAATGGAATAAACTGGAAGTTCTAAATTGGAAAACTGGAATATATCAAAGGATTTGAACTAGAAAACTCGAAAAATACTAGAAAATTGGAAGAAATTTTGATGCAAATTCCGTAAATTCCCAAAAAATCAAAAACATAACCTAAACTACCAAAAAAAAAATCACTTAATACCCAAAATATCCCGAATTTAACATGCAAACATTCAGACTAAATCTCAACCCTTATATCCGAATGCTCGCATGTTAGTTTTTCGGATATATAAGCAGTGCATTTAAATCGTTCCACCCCTTAGCAACATAAATACACTCTTTGTGTGTTAAAGTGGATTGAGAAAACATCTGTGCAATTTTTTCACTTGATTACATTTACTTTTGATCAGCATAATGGGATTGATGACTTTTTTACTCTGCGTTCTTATTTTTTTAGAAAATTTCATGCTTGTTATTGTGGCTGTAAAGTGTTTTAAATACCCAGATATTTAAAATGCAATATGATCAAATTTAAATACTCTGCAGCATATTTTTACTTCCAACACAACTACGTATGCCAATTAATCTCTTCCTACATATGTTGGATTATCGTCAAGAATAATAATTCTGATTGATGTTTCTGGGCTTTTTTGACTCATTTTTTCGGTATAATAATATTATGAATGCTAGTCAGAAGAATTTTTTCGCTCAATTTGCTTTAATACTTTACATAAATTTGATAGCCACATGTTTGCATATGTTTGTAAGAGATAGCATGGAAAAGGACCATTTCTAAATGAGGAATCGTAAAAGTTTACGAGAGAATGAAAGTTTTTTTTCGAAAAAATATGTCAAGTGAATTTAAAGATATATTTTTGAGGGCATGATGATATGTGCAAAGAGACAAATTTTAGTAAGTGCTGTTAGGCAACCATCACAGGGCTGTCATGATGACTTTAGGTCTCTTTGACGTTTTGTGGTGAAAATGAAGTTGCTTGTGAACTATGTTGTGCTGCTCGAGAATCTGTCTTATGAAGAAGCTTCTATTTATCATGCTTGAGTAGCACAGTATAGTTACCACAGACGCATGGAGTTCTCTGACTTTAAAAATTAAATTGGGGACTAAATGTCACTTGAGATAGCTTCAAAAATAAAACTGATTTAAACAGTGTTTAGGCAACCATAGGATAAGGCACAGCTCAAAGTCGAACCAAATCAAATTAGCTCAAAAATCTACTTTATCCGATGATGAATCAACAGTCGAGCAAGGCTACTCCATTGGACATTTCTAAGGAACATTGCCTTGCAACAGAGGACACAACTAGCAAACTAATCCTAAGATCATTAATTTTGCATTTAGTTTCAAGCATTAGTCTTCAATTCGTAACTCTTAAATGCTAAAATATCATTTCCCTAAGTGTAGTATTTCAAAGGATTCTCCCAAAAGTCTAATTCAATTAACGCACTTACCATACTCATCATTAATAGTCCCGCATTAAATAATTTACAAAAAGCACACCCTCAAACGACTGATAAAAATGCTACATTGCATTCAAAACCAATTTGTATTATACACATAAGTTGTATTGTACCCTGCGAAAAATCTGTTCTGGTTTTTTTGACAATCTGTTCCTTTTTTTTCATGAAAATGATATGAGGCCTTCTGCTTAGTCTATGAATATTAAAATGTGTGTGCTCATGTATGTGAAATATTTATTTTATTTTTTTTTTGAGGTTTTAATGGCAACAAAATAATAATAATAATTAAAAATAAATGCACACGCGTTGCCACATAAAAAAATATTGTATAAATCCTATCAAATATTGAAGGACATAAAATAGAACTTTATTATAGGACTTAATAGACAAAATCTTATTTTTCCAACAATATTTTCTGATTTTTCCTTACACAGGATTTTCGTTATATATCATGCTCACTCCCATTCACACAACATGTAGCCACGCCCTTCAAAATGGTGGAGAGAAGAGAATATACAAAGAATATCGTGTAAAACCGTAAGCCTGTAAGAATGAATTCACCCTTACAAATAAAAGCAAAGCCGAGAGAAGAGAGAAAAGAGAGCTGTTTAATGTGCATGGAAATATGTTATATTTTTGAAAACAGTATTGTTATTGTGGCGCACATATTCACATATTTCAGTCACCAAGTATACAATATGCGCATTTTTGTGAGATGTTATATGGGTGGGATTGGGTAATGAATGATGAATTGAAGCATATAGCATAGCATCATTGCCGTACGGTTTTATCGAATGATGTTTCTTTATATACTCTGTGCTACTTCATAAACGTACGGCAGTCGACTTTATGTTCTTGTCGGGATCTGACCGAAAAATATTTTTGTGCTGAATTTAATTCATTTTTTGAGGATAAAAAAAAATTGAAGGACATTTTGTCAGGAAGGAAGTGAAAATAATAAAAAAATATTTTGTGCATCTTGTGGAACTTAAAAACTAGTGAAAATAAAAAAAACTCTAAAATCCGGAACTATAAAAAAAAATAAATTATATTGACAATGACAATGGATGTCGCAAGTGAAGCTCAAATAAATTTGAAAATAACGTCATCACATCTAGACGAGTCGAATGTCCAAATTAAGCCATTAAATGAAGTGCAGACAAAGCTTCCGACGAAGCGGTCATTTGATGTCGCATTTCTTATGCTGCCTGATGAAAAATTAAAGCAGAAAGAGAAGATCCAGCAACAGCAAGAGTTACATTATCCATTAACTGAGTTGACTGTTAGATCTGATCTTTTAAATCGCAATAATCATCCACTGACTAGAATCGGCAATAAAGTGTTCCTTAACAGTGATTATTCTGCTGTATTTAAGTCATGTGAAGATCAGTACAGCACACGATCATTAACAAGCAGCACAGTGTCATCTGATAAAAGTGATGAGTCGATTGAGATTGAATTACCAAGAAGTGCATTCTCAAAAGTAGCAATTAATGTTGATTCTCCAATTCCACCTGCTGCTAGTCCTGATCAACTAAGTTGCTCATCAGCTAGTCCACCAATTTCATACAGTCCACCGACAACAAACTTTCGATCAGAATATGGACATTTAATTAATTCTAGTGCATTTCAAGCAATTAGTCAGCAATCCTTTGGATCTCCAAAGCATCAAAAAGCACTTTTCTACCGGAATAGCTCATTAAGTCCAGCAGCAACTCATGTAAATAATAACAACAATATCAACAGTCATAGTCCAAATGGCACAACTGATCCTTCATATTTTCATACTTTCCAACAATTTGGACCAAACATTCCGCATGTCTTTATGCAGCAACAAGATCAATTTATGAGAAATCCAGCGGCTGCAATACTATCAACACTGATGCCAACATCAATCGGAAGTCTTGCACTTCCAGCTCAAAATGTTTGTGCAAAATGCAATATAAGCTTCCGGATGACGAGTGACTTAGTTTATCACATGAGATCACACCATAAGAATGAAAATGTTCAAGATCCAAACAGAAGGAAACGAGAAGAGAAGCTTAAATGTCCAGTTTGTAGTGAGTCATTTAGAGAAAGACATCATTTGACGAGACACATGACAGCACATCAGGATAAGGAAGGAGACTTGATCGAACACGAAATTTCGGAATATCATTCACGGCGAAAATGAAAGTTCCTCAAATTTCCATAAATGTTCTGGAACAAAAAATAGATCATTCTAGTCAATTTGTGATAAAGCAATAGTAAAGTTGATACTTAAGTTTTGCAGATGCCATAATTTCAGTTACAGATTAGTTTAAACTATAGATTTTGACTAGTTTATTAATCTTTGAATGCATATGTGGATGAAATGTTTGGAAGTTCTGTAATTATTAAGTCGCAAAATCTTGTCGAAATTATATTGAAACTTTGAGTCGAAATGTAAATTCTGGTGCATTTATAGCAACTGTAAAGTGAAGATCAAATATTATTAGTGCTTATTGTGAATCCAGAGGATTTAATGTCCTTTAAATAAGATAGAATATAAAGAATATCACCGTACTTTTAAGGGAAGCTATCCTTAGCAATAATTAGTTCATTACTGAGAATCTACTGCTTGAATTTCAAGCCTATTGTTGAAAAGAAACTTCTTATTCATATAGCAACTTGTCAACTCTTTTATAATTAAACCAAAGCATCCAAACCAAATCATATTCCTGAAAGTTAACAATGAAAACAATAGAACATATGTTAAAAATCCATGTATAGCCCTAATTACTAGCTCTGAAGAATATAACTAGTCAAAACTCTGGATGATCAATTAAAAAGCACCTACTTATAAGAAAAAATCAAATGTGTAGATTAGTAACTGTAAATATTGATGAAAAAATTAATTAAATTAATGATTAAATGTTCATAAAAAATTCAAAAAAATTTATATCGATGTCTGTAAGCAACTTTTGTCCTTATACACTTATTAAAGAGAAAAAAAAATCGATTTAAAAATTAATAATTAAAAAATTTTGTTTCATTTTGTTATGATTTTCAACATTTATTTCAGGTTCCAAATCACTTCATTAAATAGGAATGGGGCACTTACTCAATAATTTTTTTTACCATACCTTTTATAGTTTGAGTGCCAAACTGTAGAATCCTCACAGCAAATGTTTTATAGAAAACAAGTTACAAGCTAGCTTTTAGAAAAGTAGACTTCAAACTGCTTCAAACCATTGTGATCAATGTTGAACAATAAAAAATTCTTAAAACTTAATTTTTAACGATTGGAAGGTCAAAAGTAGAATCATTTAAGTTCTGAGGTACTAGATTAGAATTTCATAAGTTAGGAAGTTGATGCAACTAGGTTGTGAATCTTAATTTACATCAAAAATATACAAAATGTATGCAAAAGAACCTACTTTAAATTAATTAAGCTTTAGATGATACAAATGAAGTCTTAGCTAGTCTTAACATTAAAAAAGTCAGACGTAGCTATGAAACAAGTACACTAGATCGCATAAAACTTTCCAGAAACTATTGACAATTTGAAAAATAATTCTAAAGAAAAATAATCACCAACATTTAAACTCAAAACTTTTCCATTGAAAAGGTTAATGAAAAAGACAATGTTGAAAAGCAACATACCAATAATACCAGCAAATAATAATGAGAACAATAATAATTGGAAAACTTTTTCCGTTCCTTCCGTTTTTATATTTTCCATCTTACCAGCAGAAAAAGGAACTCAATTCATTATGTCTTCCGTTCGGAAACACAATTAAACTTGGTTTAATGAAATTTGGGGATAAATCTCTTTTTATTTCTATTTGATATCATTTACTTCAAACCCTTGAGGGGCTTTTCTTTTGTTATTCATGCTTAGAAATAAACAAGGGAGGCAGGGATGAATTTGGAGTCTTTGAAGCTGGGGAAAATTCTAGACATTTTATTTTATGTTTTAAGGTTTTTGGTTTTTGGGTCAGTTTTGATTATTAAGTTAAGATGTCTCAATGGCGTTGTGATTTAGCTCTTCGGTATCTGAAAAAATTCACTACCGACCCGGCGATCACAGGTTCGAAACTCAGTATTGACAAATTATTAGTTTTTTAATAACAGATACTAGAAAGGAAGCTTAATGTTCTCTTATGGGAGACTACATGGCATGGAGCTTGTCGTGTATAGAGAAATTAAGACCCCACATAAATCTATAGATCCTCCTCGCTTAACCTTATTGCATCATGCCTGATAAGATCACTCAGGAAAAAAAATCAAAAATTTCCACTTTAGATTTTAAAATTTGTCAATTCTAATTGAAATTATTAAATCGAAAGTAAAATTTTTAACTTTTAAAAAAAATTTCTTCTGAATTTTAAAATAAAAATACTCATTTTAAAAATCTAAAGTGCAAATTTTTAGATTCTCATTCCAAAATAAAACTTTTGATTTTAATGTACAATTTTTGATTTTGAAAAATTTTGCAACTTAAAGAAAAAATTTTAGATTTAAATGTGATGAAATGTTAAAATAAATCTTCTTTAACTTCTTAAATTAATTTAAGTAGGATATGGTGGATTAAATTTTATATAGCTCAAGAATCTTTCTATTATCCAGCTACATCCCTTTACAGAACCAACTCTTCCTCTTACACAACAAAAAGACTCTTAATTTTCAGATTTTTGAGTTATTCTTATGAATATGGAAAGAGACAAGAGAGTAAGAGAGACTTTATTTATGTATCATGTTAATTTATGGTGTTGACAAAAATACTCGTACTTGGGGTCAATTTACATAATCTCTGTGGAATAATCATCATCTCTTCTCTCCCCCCAGTCTTCAACAAGCAAGTTTTTAAACCATCATCAAGCTGTTTAACAGAATCAAAACAAGACGAAAACAAGCGATTAAACAAATTTGTGCAAGCACCGAGTTTCCCACGAATTTGAGACTTCTCATGAATTGCTCGCAAATTTAACAAGAAAAGCGCAACGAATTAGTAACTTGGCGCGACGAATTTTCTTTATTTCCTCGTATATGTAGAGTCGTATGCTGTGAAGAAGATTGAAACATTAAATGTGTGTACAATGGAAATTATTATTATTTTATGTTAGAATCGCAGGGGTCGTTCATGAGACATAAAGTTGTAAGCATAATGCATACGAAATGAATTTTTGCCGCTTTTTTACAACAATATTATAAAATTCAGAAGCGATACGATAGAAATGTAGTAATTATATCACAGAATACTTATGTTAATGATTTACATTCGTGTGCTTCCGAAATTTGCATTTTTTAGTTATTAATAATAATGCTGGGATTTTTGTGCTCAAGTGTCATTAGTCATGTTTGAGTTTTTAGAGTTGAGCCTGGAGTTGAGTTTTAAATTGAAACAATTACTTGAATTGTGTTCCTTTTAATCTTGAAGAACTATTTAAAAGTTATATCCATATGAATGAATTGAAAAGTAGTTTAACGAGCTTAGTTGAAATATGCGCATAGCTAGTAGCTTGGGGATCCACTTGAGATTACAACTTCTGTAAAAAAAATTTAAATCTTCCTTAAGAGATCATTTCCTCTTCTCACTTCTTAAATTCTAGAAACTCTGTGCCCTGGCTAGTGCAAACGTGGGCCCATTGCCGCGTTCAGAGATCGTCTAAAGACAGCTTTATCTTTCGAAACCTTTTGCCAGTTCAGAATATTAAGGACTCTAGCATCCGTATCAACACATCCAATCCAGGTATTCTCTGGTCTTCCTCTAGATCTCTTACATAAAGTCTAGTACTGTTACTCCAAGTACTAGGGCATCTTGTGAACGTCTAAACTCATGCCCATTCTATAAGCACCCTTATTACAGATTCTAGCAAAATTCCCTGAGTGCCCAAAATAATTAATCAAACACTGAAAAATTTCCATTTTCTTCTGGTTCCGAGAAATCTTTCTTTTTATATTCAACCCTAATTGATCCTTCATGCAATTGTGAAACTACGATTCCGATAACTATTTGTAAATCAAAAAATCAAACCGAAAGGCTTCTAAAGAATTTTAAGAGTCGATTTAAATCTGGTTGATTTTTTGAACTTTAAGTTTTTCAATATTTCATTATTTTCAAACAAAAGATTTAAAAACTAAAGTCTTTAATGATTTAAATACCTTTTATGACTCTGCAAAACATTCCAAACAAAAGAAATACATTTTCTATTGAAAAGTCATTGATTTTTATCCGAAAACCTGTCAAAATGTTCAAATATTTGAAAACATTCTAAGCTATTTTCCTCTTAATAATTACTAATCACCGATGCTTCAAAAAGTAAAATAAAAAATATTGAAGAACTCTTCAAAATAACTAAATAACTACAGCCTCTCAAAAGTATAACATTTTTATGGCAAGTATCCTTGAAAATTTTCCAAATAACATGTGTATTCAATAACCTCTTTTAACAAAAGCGGAGAGAGAAAAAAAGTTAAAAGACTTTTAACCACCATACATCATTAAACCTACATACATCTGTTCAGATTTTTTTGCTCATACATTACGAGGAGGGGTTGCTTAAAACCTGTCAATTTTTGCTGTTTTACTTCCTTTTATATCCCTTATTTTCCTTTCATTGATTCCTCTTGATACTTTATAGCGTTTTAATAACATATTGTTCATAATATAAAATTAATTTTAGTTGCTTTTAAATATTCAGTTTGTTTTTACGGATTATGGTTTCAAGAGATCTGTGCTTCTTATATATCACACTGATTTTTAATTGTGTTCACATCTGCTGTTTATTTTTTTGAAAGAATTATTGATTATTTCTGTGACATTAGTTTTGTAATATGATGTAATTAGATTAAGATTGAAGCTATTTTAATGAGCAACACTAGTTTGTGTTAATCAAAAATTTAAGAGTATCACATTTTCTGTCAAACTTTAAATACAACAAACATAAAGTTATGTAAATCTTAATTTGAAGTTAAGACTTTTCTTAAGAAAAATGATAAAATCTGGGTTCAAATTTAAATACCTAAATGATTAAAGTCTTAAACGTTTTTTTTCCCGCATTTTTGAAAACTTGTTTTCGAAAATGGAGCTTAATAATTCATTTTGTTCGGCTGTTTGGCCGCTTACCGAGATCTCATTAAACTGATATCGTAGAAATTTTGGGTTTGTTTTATTGGCTCAGTTTCATCGTGTTATTCTGGTATTGACAAGTTAAAAAGCTTAAAACAATATTTTTATACTATAATTAATGATTTTTTTTTTTCAATAAAGTGTAACCTGCTCAAAATTTTTCGGCTACCTCTATAATTTCAATTTTTTTCGACTACCTCTTTAATTTCAAATTTTAAAAAAAAAAACGTTAAAATTTGAAATTTAACAAAAACTTGCTTTTAATCAAATACTGATGCGCTGAATTCCTCGAATACCTTTTCTTCTTTTGTATTTTTTATTATGTTTCGATTAAAAAAATTTAAAATAAATTTTTCTTAAAATTTAAATATTTCTTATTTCTTTGCGTAAAAAAAGCTTCATAAATTTCCAATACAATCTATGTATCCCGAAATAGAGCAATAAAAAACATAATATAG